GCAGCATATTACAGTAGACAGCACTTCTTTTGGACTTTCCTGAAACTAAATGCCTTCAAGAAAGTTCTACTAAGCAATAAATCATCCTCCAACAAGATCAACTTTTCTGAAATGGAGTTTATCTTCTACAGATCTTAATAAGGGCATAGCTGCCTGGTATCATTTCTTAAAGTTTCAAATAAAAGCGGAACAGAGCAGCATGATGTTGGAGGTCCTCACATTTTCCCCCATGACTCTTGTTGCTACATAATATCCCGTGAGTTTTATTTATCATATAATGAAATTCTGGTGAAGTTTAACTTGTTCCCATGACTTACACAGCCACCCCCCATTAATTTATGGGTAACTCACATTATAGTTACATCATGCTGACTCACTACCTCTCTTGGACTACCTCAGTCTGGAGAAGCCACATATGGTATAATTCCAAATATGTGATAGTCCGGAAAAAGTGAAACTATGAAGAATGTAAAAAGATTGGATCTCACCAAAGGTCATGGGGAAAGAGGGGTGAATTGGGAGAGCACAGATGATTTGGGGGGGACTATGAAAGTTTTGGGTATAATACTATAATGGTGAACACATATCAGGATCCTTCTGTCCAAATCCACAGGGTATACAGCATTGAGAGTGAACCCTAATGTAAAGGGTGCACACTGAGGATTCTCTGTACAGTCTATGCAAATTTTCTGCAATCCTAAAGCTTCACTAAAAAAATAAAATCTACTAATTAAAGCTTTTTTAAAGGAAAAGCAATCCTAACACTAGATTCATGCTGAGTCCTTTTCATCTCAAAGGTCTTGGTTAAAGCAGCAGCTATACTGGTGCATACATAGAGTTGCATTATCACCAGCCTAACCAGAGAACAAGCCTGAGTTACCACCAAGTGGGTCATAATGAAATCCTTGTTCTGGAATTTCAATGAGCTTCAGTTAACTCAACACAGATAAGAATAAATTCCCCACTATGATCTATAGAAGACTAACTTAGATGAGACCAACAGCATAGAGCAGGTATGAGAGCACTAGTTTTCTTCCTTCTTTTCCTAAAAGGCTACTTTAAGTGGATATTCTCAAAAATAAACCCACAAGCTCCCCTGCATGCCGCTTTAAAAAAAGAAAAACTGCATGGTCCTGAAACGGTTCGTGCACAATTCTGATGAGAAACTGTACACATTTAGAAATGTTGTCATGACAAAAACAGAAGCTGCTACGAAAGCACTGTGCAAAAGAATATTCTCCTGGTCCCATCTGAACGAATTCTAATCTCCTTGATAACCAGCAACAATGTTGATAACTGCAGAATAAACAAGACAATCAGAGTCTACCTATTCAACAATATTGAAATGAACCTTCATTTTCATTTAGCAGGAGGAAGGTCTGAAATTAAATCTTCAATCTTAATAATGTCAACAAAAAGCCAAATAGGGAAAAGGCAAAGAGGAAGAAATAGTCCTTGTCTTCCCTAAGTTACTGATTGCTAAGTGGCTGTTTGAGGGGAAAAATCATCATGCTATCAGGCTTTCGCTTTATGGTAATATGCCAATACAAATTTACATCCTGAAACCCTGCACACATCTCTAAATGGTGCTTTTTCCTGTAAATATTCTTTGATTGTTTTAAGTCTCTCACATTTTTCTGATTTTTTTTTCAATTGATGATTTTGTCCTCAATACCCATTTACATAGTCAGTTCTCTACTTTTAAATTTTTATTGTTGGAAGGCCCAAATTTTGCTTTTAAGCATTTTATATTCTTTTACAATAGTATAATGTGGCTTCACAGATACAATGGGTTTATGTGATGTGTTCCCCAAGGAAATAAGCAGTTCTGTAACATTTTGACTTCCCAGCAAAGTGTTCCAAATGCAAAGGTAAGAAATTCTCATCCTTCAAGAGGCAGTATGGAGGCCCTCACCTCAAAAGGCCTTGAACACCTCCCGAAGGTCAGCAAGATATTTCCTCCTCTGGGGAGCTCAGCATTGAGCTTTATACCTGGCACCTAATGCATTTGTGCACTTGCTTGCCCCAGGGTAGAAATTCCTTCATCTTATTTTACCTGCATCCAACACAGTGCCCTAACACAGTAGCAACTGTTTAGTGAATGAACAAAGAGAGATACATAGAGATTCACCCACAGAGAACATAGAAATTATATGTAGTAACGTGTGTGCGTGTGTTTTAAACAAACCCTTGCCTACCCCATGCTTTGCTGAGCTGAGGTATGTCAGTAGTATATTATCTCTTCCTCATGAAATTAGATGCAGGTTGGAAGGACAGCAGAATAAAATAGACATTATTATTGCTGTGGGTATATACGTGACTGCATGACCAATGTAATTCTGCAACCTGTACACTCAGAAAAATGAGAAAGTATATCCCATCTGATTCAAATGTATGATATGTCAAGATCATTGTACTGTCATGTGTAACTAATTAAAACAAATTAAAAAAAGAAATTAGATGCAGAAATGGCCTAGATTACCTCAGCTCTGCCAAGAATGTACCGTAAACATGCCACTATTTCCAAAGTAAAACATTTGCTATTGATCAGCTTCTCTACTGTTGCCTGGAGAGCTGCTTTGGTTTCACGAAATAAAAGCAGCAACATTCATTGGTCCATCCTTTCACTACAGTAGAGTCACATTCTTGAAAGAAAAACATGGACTAAATGAAATTTCAAGACATTCAGGGCATATTTATTATTGTTGTTGTTGTTTAAATAAGGGGGTTAACTGAAAAAAAGCTTTATGTTCCTATCCCTGTTCCAAAAAAACCCTAACATTAGTAACTTGCTATATCTGTATCAGGATGTATATGTTGCTTAAGCCCAAGGATTTTTTTTTTTTTTTTTTTTTTTTTTTTTTGAGAAGGAGGCCTTAAAATGCCTCAGGCCATTTTGATTAGGAGGTTCCTTATCTTTAGATGAAAGGGCCAGAGTTTAAGATTTTAAATCCTTAATGTCAAATGTGTGTCCTTACATGGTTGTTTTTTTTCTTTAAAAGGGCGAAAGGAGGTTTGACCAGAGATTTTGCAGGATTGAATTAAAAGCTAATCTCATGAAGTATGATCTGCACATATCTAAGGTAGAAGTGGGTTTTGCACTTTTCCAAACACTGTGATCTGTTTTGGACAAACCTTTGGGCAAAGTCAAATCTTTGCCATGGCTTCAAGGCCTCAGCCTGAGAAGAAAGGGTGATACCCCATGCACCCACCCCCTGGGCATTCCTTGGGACATAAATCTCTCCCCAGTCCTGTCACACACTGTTACACTGTTTTGTAACTAGAGACCTTTCCATACTGTCCTACCCAGCAAACTTTGCCCTGTCAGTCAAGTTTCAGATTGAGATGACCTCAATGAAGAAGTGTGTTCTGTTCTTCCAATTTTCCTGTGGAAGGTGCCTAACTTTAGCAGAGTTCTTATCATATGAGGGTGATATCACACACTTTGCATCCTCTTCTGACACCGTGATTTCCCAATGATTTCAACAACAAAGCTTAATACTGAGCACAGAGTAGATTTCAAAGCTATAAGAAATCCCTACATATACAAATGTGAGAACACTTTGTTAAAATAATTCGGTAACTATACATCTACAGAGGTACCTTTGTTTTCAGTGTTAGGCACAAATTACTGTTACATATAAAGCTGCTAAATAAAATGCTGTGTAACAAACATAAGCAAATAAAACTCCAGAATAATAAATAAATACATTAAGAAATGATTACTCTCACGCAGTCGACTAAGTAATTACTTATCAGGAAAGGGACTATGAGATTTGTAGCTTGATTTTATTACAAAAGCCATCTGTAGTCCATGGGCTGCATAAAGTAATTCTCTTTTATTCATTTTACCTTTATGTTCCAGTTTATTAATAGAGGTTATAGAGATTTTTTATTAATTGGGTGATTGAACCCAGAGCTTCAAACATGCAAATACATGCTATACCACTGAACTACACACACCCAGCCCCAAGAATGGTTTTTTGAAGGATTTACCCATATGTATAATTTTACCCCTCAATGGAACCTTCATATCACCAAAAATAAGAACACTTTTAAAATCTGGCAGTGCAATCTTGCTACTAATTGTGGAGGGTTTATTTCCATCCACAGAATACTGCAATGAAAAGAAGATATGTGACTTAGCATTTTGGTTATTCCCTACTTTCAGTCTCACATGTCCCCCTTTCAGGACAAAATGTGTAGGAATGAGCACAGGAAAGGCCCCCAGCATGGGGCCATCTATGACATGGCTTGGGGCTACAAATGCAAGCCTGCTCCAGGAAACCTTCATATTCCCACAGGTGGAACACACGGTATGCAGCCTGAAAGAGGAGGCTTGTATCTTATTTTCCAGCATATCAGCACTCGCTGAGCAGCTAAGCACCTTTTCATGGGGAAAGACTTCTTTCACAGTAAATAATCCTTAGCTCAATTTGCTTATAAGTCTGTAGAAACACCCTTCTCAAGGAAAGCATATACTTGATCCCATACTTTCTCCTGAAATAAATAAACAATGACAGCTGATGGACCCTCAGACATTTCCCTGAAGACAAGAGTATAAGCTGGGTAATCACCAAAACCTTCCTGAGAAACACTTAAAGGCAGATCTCTTGGATTTTGTTAAAACAAGAAACCAAAAGTAACAAGCTGACATTTATATTCACTCCTAATATTAAATAGCTCAATTAAATCAATGATCACACAATTGCAAGTAATCCCATCTGAAAATCTATGTGCTGTAAATACCTGAACAGAGAAGAGAGCAGTAGGAACATTTCTTAATCATCAGAGCAATGTCTCACTGCTTACGTCATAAATTCTACCTCTTGATTTTTTTAATCATCTTCAATATTTAAACTACCAACAAATGCTATAGATTTAAGAAGTGAATTTTGAGTTTTAAATCTACATGGTAAATCTCAAGCAGAAATCCACAATGATAATGTAAACCAAAAAGGGTGCTACAGCCATCAGATCAGAAAATAAAATCTTCTTACCATGTTTATTGATGACACAGGACCAATGCTGTTAACATAAATGTCAACATCAATTACGGTCGGTTTTACTGTGGAGAAAAACACACATATGTTAATACTTTATGCTAGAAAGAAGAAGAGAGCACAAGTCAATGCCCCAATGACTCATTCACTACTTACATCTCAAGGCTTGTTGGAAACATATGGGTGAATTTTTCTTTGGGATCTGTCTTGCATTTGCAATGCAAACCCTGCCTGTCTTACTTTTTAAAATTTTCAAGGAGAAAATCCTACTTGTATTTATTAAGTTCTAGGAAAATAAGCAAGTTGCTAGTGATGAATGACTACAGATATTCTATAGCAGTAGTTAATTTTATAGCAAATATATGAGACAAAATACAAGACATTATATAAGTAATTTAATGTTAAAGCTTTGCTATAATACTAAATACACAAGATAAGCACTATCAGGAATGTACCAGTATTCAGGTTAGTTATCTATCACATGGCTGTCTAGCAAATTCCAAAGCAAAGTAACTCAAGACAAAGTTCTAGTAAGTTCATTGCCAAAGAAAAATAAAAAACATTGTTTATTGATATTATTATGTCTTAGAGTTAAATTCTATAACTTAAAAATGAAGAAAATGTCAGTAAGTCAAAGAATTTCTCTTCCAAATCTTCTGTGCATTAATTTATGAGCACATAAATGTTATATGATCAGAAGATGTGATAGCTAATGTCCCACATCAGGGATAAATCAGTTTGTTTGTCTAACGAAAAAACAAAACAACAATAACAAAAATAGTTTCTCCTTTCATGTCAGAAATCAAAGTGAGTGAGTCCAGTAATGAGACTGCCAAATCAGCAGACTTCTAAATCAGGGAGCTTAAATCCTCTGAAAGGTAGGACATTCCCTTTCTCACCATTTAGTGACTGGCAAAGGAAAGGACAGAGGCAATTTCAGAATATTTCTGTCCAGAAGGAATATGAACAAGACTTAGGAAAATTTCTACATCGAGTTTCTATGGAAACAAGAGTAGTTGTATCTGCAATTATTTCAATGAGCCTTCTTCAATTTTGCTAAATATCTGATCATTCACAAATCGACTCTGCTCTCCACTTTTCAGACTATGAGTAGCACCTCTGAGCTCTCTATCTCTTGGAAAATTGTGTATCCAGTATAACTTGGGCAACAATTTTCATATTACACAAAATGGAACAATGATTCTGAATTTGAACCAACTCCTCAAACATCTGTCAGCACAATGAAGTCATATTAGCTCCCAAAAGCTACTAGCATTTTTGGAAAGAACAACCCAACAAATGCTATGCACTACGTTGCTAGTGCCTGAATTTCATCAAAGCAGTATTCTACATTTTAGATTAAGCTTTACTAACAACTATGAGAATTAAGTATCATCTTTTTTCAACCTCACTAGATTCGATAAGTGTTCTGTCTACAAACATTGCATAAACTTTATACCATACAGAAGGCTGTGAAGTCAGTCACTTGGGTACTTAACTTTTTCAAGAGACATTTCTGGCAATTCTGCAATATTTACTAGTCTTTAGGTTTTCAGAGCTTTTTAACCTCATCACATTAATAGGACCTATAGATATAAAGCCTTAACAACTTAAAGTAGGAAACAACAAATATATTAAGTACAATAAAGGTTTTAAGAGATAGAAATGTGGAGTAAACACACATGCACAAAACCTGAGGGAAGTTAATTGTTTTGGTACATTATTTCTTAAGCAGAATCATGCTAGCATGAATGAACCATTTACGAAAGTTGCTCTAACAACAGTACTCAGGAAAGAGACTGGCCGTTTAGGCTTTATCTCAAAGACTCAAAATTCACCTCTGACAAATTACCTTTGACAAGGGTGCATGGTCATCCAATGGGGAAATTAATCTTTTCAGCAAATGAGGTTGGGAAAACTAGATATCCATAAGCTAAAGAATAAAGTTGCATCCTTACCTTATGCCACATACAAAAATAAACTCAAAATGGATTTAAGACCCAGATGTAGACCCAAAACTACAAAAGTGTCAGAAGAAAACACAGGGGAAAAACTTTGTGACATTAGCCTTGGCAATAATTTCTTGCATTTAATACCAGCTCTAGCAACAAAAGAAAAAAATTGGATGAATTTGACTCCATCAAAATTAAATCTTTTGTGCATAAAAGGCACAGCAGAGTAAAAAGGCCACCCAGAGAATGTTTAAAATATTTGCAAATCATATATTTGACAAGGGTTGCAATTCAGTTCAGAAAGAACTTTTACAATTCAATATTAAATGTGCAAGGAATTTAAATAGACATCTCCAACAAGGAGATAAATAAATAACCAATAATCACATAAAAGAATGATGAACAACTTTAGTCACTAAAGAATATAAACAGAAAACAGGAGATACCATTTTTATGCTTTATGAAGGTTACTATTAAAAATAAAACAAAAAATCAGAAAATAACATGTGTTGGCAAGGATGTAGAGAAAATTGGAATTCTTGTGCACTGGTACTAAAAAGCAAGATAACACAGTCATGGTGGAAAACAATATTGTGGTTCCTCAAAATTAAACAGAATTACCACGTGACCTTGTAATCACACTTCTGGGTATTTATATAAAGGAATTAAAAGCAGGGATTCAAAACAGACATTGGTACACCTATGCTAACATCAGTATGATTCACAGTAGCCAAAGGTTAAAAGCAATTCAAGTGTCCATCAACAGATGAATAGATAAACAAAATGTGGAATAAAATAGAATGTTGTTTAATCTTTAAAAGGAATTAAATGTTGGCACATGCTACGACAGGGATAAGCATTGTGGACTTGATTTTGAGTAAATAATGCTAATTACAAAAGGACAAATACTGCCTGAGTCCATTTATATGAGTTATCTGGAGTAGTCAAATTCACAGACAGAAAGTAGAATGGTAGTTGGCAGAGACAGTAGAGAGGGGGATGGATACAGATTTTGAGATGGGTACAGAGTTTTAATTTTTCAAGATAAAAAGAGCTCTGGATGTGGATGGTGGTGATGGCTGCACAACACTGTGAGTGTGGTTAACATCACTGAACTGTGCACTTAAATATGGTTAAAATGTGGCTCAATTGTAGAGTATTTGCCTTGCATTCAAATACTGCCCTGAGTTCAAGTCCCGGTAACACACACACACAGAAACACACACATACACACACACACACAAATGGTTAAGAAGGTAAATTTTATGTTTTGTTTATTTTACCACAACAACAATTTTCAAATGCTAAATCCTAGAGTAGGAAGAAGGATAAAGAATTGCACAGAGGTAGAAAATCTAAGAATGGCAATGAGAAAGAGCAATTCTCCCAGAGGAAAGAAAGAGTGGACTATCTTCAGTGTTCTGACTTTTGTGGGGCTGTCCAAGGGATTGGTTTCTGTGTTGTTTGAGTATACATGCTAAAAGAAACAAGCTAACAGGTTGGTGAACTCTGAGAACAAAGTCAAGGATGGCTTGGTTTCAACACCAGAGTCTGTAGAACTATTGACAGATATTAAGGAGAGCTCCAGTACATCAGTTTGTTATAACACCAAAGAAGCTGCAGTACTGCAGAGATATATTAGCAAAAGCTTCTGAGTAGGAATCAAAACACTTCTTCAATTACTTTAAATGAGAAAGTTCAGAGAGGACACATCTAAAACAAAGGCTTGAGAGGTCTCCAGAACCTCTGGCCACTCTCATTGATGAAAGACCTTTCTGTACAAAACTAGACCATAAAAAAAACTAAGAAAGGTGGCTGATTTTTCAAATACCAAAGTCCCACAAAAGATAACAAGGCAAATACAAATAAAGGAAAATATGATACAGTCAAAAGGATAAATTAAATCTCCAAATCTGACCCTAAAAGGGATCTATGAATTACCAGACAAAAAATCAAAAATACTGTCACAAGGATGACCAATTATATTTTGAAAAGCACAAAACTAAATGAAATCAGTGAAATAATGCATGAACAAAATTAAAATATCATTAAAAAGCTGAGAAGAGAGAGCAAACAACAACTACAGCTATAGAATACAAAATTAATTAATTGAAAAATTCATTAGTGGGATTCAACAGCAGACAACCAAGCAGAAGAAATCTGCAACTTCAAAAATAGTACTTTGAAATTATCAAGAAATAAGAATAAAAATAAAAAGATAATAAAGAAAAAGGGCCAGAGGCAGAATCACACACCTGTAATCCCAGCAGTCGGCAGGCTGAGGCAGGAGGATAACGAGCTCAAAGCTAGCCTCAGCAATGGCAAGGCACTAAGCAACTCAGTGAGATTCTGTTTCTAAACAAAATACAAAATAGGGCTAAGGATGTGGCTCAGGGGTTAGTGCTCCTGAGTTCAATCCCTGGTAACCCCCCTCCAAAAAAAAATAGAAAGAAAAGAAAAAAAAGATAAAAAGATAAATGAACAGAGCCTACAGACTTATGTACACCACTTTGGGAGTTCCAGAAGAGGAAGAAAACTAAAAAGGTACATAGAGAACTCTTTAAAGAAAATATGTCTAAAAACTTTTGAAGTCTGAAGACAAAAACTGACATATCAATCAAGGAGATAGAAGAACTTTCAATAAAAATCAATCTAAAGAGACCTACATAGAAATACACAATAAGCAAACTGTCAAAAGCCATAGACAAACAGAATCTTGAATAAAGAGACTTGCCATGTACAAGGATTAATTGTCATTAGACTTCTAAGTAGTCAAAAGAACAAATTAAATCTCGAAATCTGACCCTAAAGGGGATCTATGAATTACCAGACAAAAAAATCAAAAATACTATCACAAGGATGACCAATTATATTTTTAAGAGCACACAACTAAATGAAATCAGGAAAATGATGCATGAACAAAATAAAAATTACAAATGGAACATTCTCCAACTTTGCAGGCTAGAAGAAAGAAAAAAATAATGTCAATCAAGAATACTATATTCAATAAAAATTGTCCTTCAAAAATTAGGGGAAAAGTAAAATATTCCAAGATAAACAAATGCTAATGAAGTTATCACCACTAGATGTGCCTATAAATAATGCTGAAGGGA